ACTGCATGACTCATTATATGCTGTCTGTAATAGTCTGTGATGTATTTGTCTCTGTCTTCTCTTGGCATATTTCCTTTAGATGTAACTTTTTAACTATATAATTGGACTTTTTGAAGCCGGGTCCAAAGAACCTTGTATATTAAAATAACTGCTGTACTAATGGTGGGATTTTTTTTTTTTTTAACAATCCAGAACTGTAGGAGATTGTACAGTATTATTAAGGTGTATGTAGTTTTAGTTCATTAAAAAAGGCTTACAACAAAGTAGTTTATCTGTCAGGTTCTGGAAATAAGCAGTATTACTTTAGTGGAAAATATGGACCTCCCTTACTGTAAATGCATCTGTGCTACAGGCTAAGTGTTGAATAGTATTCATGTGTAACTTTGACTAATCTCCTGTAGGAAAGAATCCATTTGCAATGCATTGCACTACTTCCATAAGTAGTGCAAGTTCTCATAAAGCAGTTCTCGTAAAATTTCATGCTACTGATATGTATTTACATTACTTAATACATCTCCTCAAATGTAGTCCCTATCAATAAGACAATTACTATGGTGACTCCTTTTATCTACCTTAGAATATATTACTAAGTAAGTATTTTATGCAAAAAGGTATTAAGAATTAAATGTTTCTATCATCTTCTTGGTAACTGAGTCTTTTACTGCACATTCTAGTCCTTTCCTCCCTATAGGGCCTGTGGAAGCTGTTTGTACATTTTAATATTTGAATGTAAATAGAATCACATCAGCAGTAAGGAAATAATTTTTGATTTCTCTAAAATCCTAAGCAACTCATGCAAAAATTTGTTTTTCTTAATTAGTTGGTTTTCATGGCTAGTCAAGTGCACTAACAATAATCTACTAGCTCTTCACATCTGAAGAATCTCTCTGAGAAAAGAGGCAGACCTGGGTTTCTTACATCAAAAGCAGACAGCAATATTTCCCATTTGTTTTTTTCTTAAATAGGAGCATTTTAGAACTCGCTTATCCATTCCAAAGTAAAAGACTGCAAACCTCTTCCTTCACAAGTTGTATTTAATAAGTAATGTCTGTCAAAAAATAAACAGTTTCCGGGTTTTAGAAACTGGTTGAAGGCATTTAACCCTAAAATGCATATATTTCTGCTTCCACATATATTCCTTACCTGGTTTGGCAAAAAAATCTGCAATGCACAGCAATTAATGCAGTTTTTGGAAGGCAAAGATTGTGATGGGACTTGACACACACACAAGTCACGTGGAATTCATGGGAAGTGTTTATTCCCCACCAGCTGAGCACTCCCCACTCACCACACATGGAATATTTCCTCTGGAGCCCCTGCACAGGAGAGGTGTTGATGAGCATGAGTGGGCTCAGCATAGCACTGTGAAGATCATCAGAGGGCTGGAAAATGTAGCCTAGTGAGAGAGGCTGAGTGAGCTGGGCTTGTGCTCTGCACCAGGGGGTACAACAATAAAGAGGGCAATAAAGTAGCTGTTTTCTTAAAGTAGGCTAAACCCCAGCAATATGGTAATGAGGAAATCTTAGGTCTCTTCCAATGCTGGGAACTCCATTTTTGTGCAGCATCTGACAGACATTACATGGATCTTCCCCAGCACAGATGCCATCTGTGGAGGGATTCCACCTTCTTTTCAAAATGTGGAGCTTTTCTTTTGTGTGGCAATCACGTGTATTTTCTCCTGACAGGCTGGGATGTCATCTAATTCAAAATATTCACCGCTGTCAACACACCCTTTAAGTACAAGGCTCAGTAGAATGGACACGTACTCTTCAAGATCACTAACTCCTTGACTACAACATTTTCCATAATGCTGTCAATGTAGCTTGTGCAGCCAGGAGGAGAGACAGCTTCAGAGGCACTAATAGTGCCTGTGCAGTACCTAGGAGGATGGTGACAAGAGGTCCGAGCCAGGTTTTTACTTAAGTCGTGCCAGAAGAACAAGAGAAGGTGGCCTGAATAAGGGGAGGGTCTGATGACACATAAGGAAAGCTTTTTCTTGCAATGAAAATAGACATTTGTAACCAGTTAGCTAGGGAGGTTTGGGATTCTCAGCTCTTGGTGGCTTTCAACTTTGACTGGACAAACCCTGGGTAAAGTGGTCTGAATTCAGCGTTGTCCCTGTGTTGAGCAGCTGTGTGATTCTGAAATTCAGAGCAGATAGCTAAATTGGAGTCTTAATCTGTGAGCTGAATCTCTCCCTTTAGCTAACTGACAAACATTAGATGACAGTCCACACTGAGAAGTTCAGCAGAAGTTAATTAAAATAATTTAGGAAAATAATTTAACTTGGACAGATACAGTTTGTAATGAAGCAAAGCTGGGCAATGGGAGGACAATATAGTCATAAAAGAACAACTAAGGCTGCTTGAACCTTTTCATCAGTTATCGCAATTTTCTTTTCTCAGCAAGTTATATTCCCAGAGTGGATTAAATTTCAATTTAACATTATCCTGACTATCTGCTTGCATGGATGAAAAAGACTGAAAGGGAACAATTATAAAGTTATGAAACCATTAACATATATTGGACTGATTATATGCAAGATGGAATAGAGTCTTACATCACTAGGACAATTTGTACAAGGAGGGCCACCACCCTTTTAATAAACATAGAGAAGCCTACTTGTTTCACAGTGTGCTTGCCCTTTAGCCTGTGTCCACATCTGGATCTGACCTGGGCTGTTGCCCAGACACTGTGTGCTGCGTGCATGTGTAGAGGAAGAGTTGTGTGTTCCCAGGGATCTTGTTGGACCATTCTAGGAATAGCTGATAAAACATTTTGCCTGAAATATGTGTCTATCCATACCTTATGTATTGTGAAAAATCAGACAAATAGGTATGATATTCTGGTTAGTCTTCCAACAGTATCCTAGAATTGACTTCTGTTGCATATACTGAGCTTCTTTCTTATAATTTCTTGATATTGAAATATAATAATGAATATAAATTTATGTTTGTCTTCCATGCCAGACCCCAAACTGGCATGGAAGACAAACATAAATTTATATTATGTTTGTCTTCCATACAAAGAAGACAATATTCTTCTTAATATTCTCTTCAACATGTTCCTGTTTCAACCCACTTAATCCTAGCTCTGCAGAGATATATATGCTTACATCATATCTTGCTGGAAGAATAAAAATCCCACTTGGCTTTTTGTTAAGTTGTGGAGTGAAGGTGGTCAAGGCAAATGATTTTGAAGCACACATCTGAAACTTAGTCTCCATCAAAAGACAGAACCTGAGATCAGCCCAGCTGCTCTGCAGCGCAGTGTTTGCCATCAGGAGCATTTCCAGGGGTTTATTGTTTGTGGTCAAGGCAGTTACTCTTCTGCAAGTTGCTGGGTGAAGGGAGAGTGAGGGTTAAGGTAAACCCATTTTTTCCCTTATGGTCTTGCTATGCCAATTTCCCACTAATTGAGTCCTATTGTGTGGGGGTGGGGGGGGGGCGGGGGGGGGGGGGGGGGGAGGGGGGGAACTAAAAGGAAACAACCTCAGGAATCCAAGTTTCCTATGAATAGGCCTTAATTTAGGAAACAAATATCAGGTATATTAGATTAAGTTGTTGTGATTCATAGTCTTTGCAACACAATCTTAAAGAAATCTTTTGTAGACTCAGGCAGCTGCAGCAGTGTTGAGCCAAGTCTAGATAATGGATACTTACAGCTGCTGTCAGTGGAAAAGTTTCCTGAGATTCTTCAGCTTCTCTGTTGTCTGTTCTCACAGCCATGAGCTATTAACATCCATTGCATGGTGGCAGATAAGGGGGAAAGAGGGAGAGCAAAGGGGCCATGTAGGTTTTCCAAACTTTTGTAGTCTACTACAGCATCCTCTTTATGAATTTTGCCCTTCATCTGTTCGGTACATGAAAACCTTTAGTAGCATAGAAGTGGTAGTCTGTCTGTGAGCTTCCTGAGCTGTTCTTATAATATAATTGTGATCACAGTGATTAATCAGCTTAGGTTCAGTATTATGTACTATATATGCAGCATGGATATTGCTTTTCACCTTACTGGTTTGCTCCTCAGAAAGACTTCAAACTACCAGTGTCCTGACTGTAACCAGAAGGATATGAGTGCCCTAGCTTCAAGTAAGATTGCATACAAATATCTTTTTATATTTTATTTTTCATATTAAACTGATCAATTTTATTTAATCTCTCTCTTTTGTGATTAAGAGAGCAGGCTAAGAGATAAAAGAAATCAGTTGAAATTTTCTATTCTTATCTGCCACAAACTTTATGCAAAAGTCATATGGGAAAGTTGAAGAACAATGAATTTCCTGTGTTCATGATACAATTTGTATTTACAAAAATGAAAGGTTTTAGATACTGAAAAATTATCTCACAGACTTTAGCACTATAATAGAATAAGACTTTTTGGTATTGTTTCATCATAAGAGACCGTTTCCTCAGTTGGATTTGCCACTGAATTTTCACTTTTTTTTTTTTTAATTAAATTCTCAGTAGACCCACAATCCCAATAATTTATTTCGCATGTGTTATTTTTCATTTTGCTGAGAAAAAACCTCTAAGTCTTGACCCTGTTTTGAAAACAAAAAAATATTTTTAGGGCAGTACAAATATTTTTCTTTTTATTTTAGAACCAGGTGACTCCAAAAAAGAGACGAAGGAAAAAAAGGGCTATGGAAAAATGCATTTCTTTCTCTGGGCTACATATAAACCTTCCTCCTGCTTCTCCTAAAGTGCACTCCTCTGGTTTGCGTAGAAAAATTTTTGCAAGAACTCTCCTGAGTAAGGTCATTTGAGTACGAGTCTGGCCACAGCTATTTCCAAGTTCGGGTTTTGACTGAAGTGAGTAATTGAGTCACACTGAGTCTCTGAAGTTTGCCTTTTATTTATATATTTCCCCCAGTTGTGTGGCTCGGTCTGCCATTGGCTGCTGTCCCTGCAGCCTACCCGAGGGCTCTGCAGTTACATAAGTCTCTGTCTGCTGGGAGCCTATATAAAGCCTTTTTGCATGCCAGCAAGAGGCAGAATTTTATCACAATCCAAGTCCCACTGCTTTAGTTCGCATGAGCAGGAAGATTTGCTTGAAGATATCCTGAAACTCGAACCCAGGCTGGTTTGTTTGCCAGCCGGTGCTTCATAGCTGTCAACCTCAGTCGCAAGTGGCAGCTACTGTGAGTAGCTTCTGTGCATTATGAAGAATTTTTCATTTCCTATGCAGGATAACACACGTCAGACCGAGAGTTCTCCTCCTCACAGATTCCTGAGTTTAACAAATCAGTCAGATCCTATTGGAAGACCAGAAAGAGATGAGCAATTAGCACAAGTAGAGATTGCTGTACTGGGGGTCATATTTCTGACAGCGTCTGTGGGCAATTTCATTCTCATACTGGTGCTGTGGAGAAGAAGAAAGAAGCTTTCTAGGATGTATGTGTTCATGCTTCACCTCAGCGTTGCTGACTTAGTGGTAGCCTTTTTCCAAGTGCTGCCTCAACTCATATGGGATATTACAGATGTTTTCATAGGGCCAGATTTCTTGTGCAGAATTATCAAGTATCTACAATTGCTGGGCATGTTTGCCTCTACTTATATGATAGTGGTCATGACAGTGGACAGATATCAAGCTGTTTGCTACCCTATGGTCACTTTCCAGAAGAAGAGAGCTCTCTGGAACATCCCCATATGCAGCAGCTGGTCTATAGCACTGATTCTTAGCCTACCACAGGTATTTATCTTTTCTAAGACTGAAATATCTCCAGGTGTATTTGAATGTTGGGGTGAATTTATTCAGCCTTGGGGCCCAAGGGCATATGTGACTTGGATTTTTGTAGTTATATTCTTCATTCCCTCAGCAATCCTTATCACATGCCAGGTCAAGATTTGCAAAATAATCAGAAGAAATATAAATGTGAAAAAGCAGAATGAATGTGAAGCAACAAATCAGAATCAAGTCCTGCCATCCCGAGCAAGCAGTGTGAACTGTATTTCAAAGGCTATGATCAAGACAGTAAAAATGACAGTGGTGACAGTTGTTGCCTACGTTCTCTGCTGGTCACCTTTCTTCATTGCCCAGCTGTGGTCCGTGTGGTTCCCCAGCATCCTGACCGAAGGTAAGATGCTCTCCCTCCTCAGCCACAGCTGCAGAGCAGGCTAGCAACTGCTGTCGAGTGCTTTTTGTTTGCATTTTGCTTCTGTGTAAAGGTTACATGTGGTCTTTTGGGGAGGATTAAAAATAAATACCTGGATTGATTATCTCCTGTGTTTAATTAGGTACAGGGAGCTTCTCGTGTTATGTGATCAAAACATCATGTGTCTGTTTTATGTGTGTGTCTTGAGTGATTAACCATTTAAAGATTCACTAACAGCATGGTGAAAAGTATCATGTGCTTCAGCAAAGCCTCAGACTTTTAGAGGTTGTATGTGTTGTAGCAGCAGTGTTTTGGGTTCTTCAGGTGAAAAGAAGCAATTGACTATTCAAAGTAATGAAATTATTTCTTATTTACTGGGTAGAGCAGTGGTGTTGTAAGACATCTGATTTTTTTTACTATTGAAATCGTATTGATGAAATCTCTGTAGTAAACTATGAAACAACCAAAAGTTGTCAGCCAGCATGTTTATAAATCAAAAAAGCAAGCTTGAGAGAGTTATCAAACACCATGTTGTAAACAAATTTATACTATTGCCTCTTTGTGAAAGGCAGACTCTATATGTGTCTTTAAATCACCTATTCTAAATAAAGAGGAAAAAAAAAAGAGAAGACAATATAATAGTCCTGCCTGATAAAAATGGTAGTTTCTGAACTTTAAGAATTCCTCCTGTCAGTGTGAATTTGATTTTATTCTACATACCTTTATGTAAAAATATATACCTGTATTTATTTGTATCTGTTTAGCAGCTTAGTAATTTCTTTTAAAATTAATGCAACTACTTCCAAAAAGAGCTATATGAAACTATTTATCTCTGAATGCATACAACAAAGTCTGCTTTATACATTCAGCAATTGCAAATTGCATTGATATGGGAATTTCCTACTATTGGATTGGTTTTAACATATGAATAGATACAACAGAAAGCAGCAGCCTGTGAAAATGTGCCTTATATTCATAAGAGTGCTTTAATTCGTCTCTTATTCCTTTAACTGTTTTGTTCTAGGTTCGGCATTCACCATTATAATGCTCCTTGGCAATCTAAATAGTTGTGCCAACCCATGGATTTACATGTATTTCTGTGGCCAGATTCCATATTGCACAAATAAGCAGCTGGAGAGTACCTCGGCTCAAGAGGAGTCCGTGTTCACGGGGAGCATTCATCTCGCAGACAGAGACCCTGAGGATAACAGTACTTCTGCATAAATGCTGAGAGCTTTTTGTTGTTTTGTCACATTCCCCCTGTTCACAAGACATATTGATATTTTACTATCGTCCCTAGTTTTGTGGATAAGGAAGCTGAAAAATTGTTTTTTTGCTGTAAAAATATGTTTCTCTGCAGTTCTGCAGCATATTCAGGAAGTTTCTGTGCTGTGCAAGCCTGACTCAGTGCTTCAATCACCACTGTCTTGTGGTGATTGAATTCCTGTAAAGATTGACAAAGATACATAAAAGTATCTTAGATATTTTGTGTCCTAAAGTACTTCCCCATCTGTGATTCTGGATTTCTAAGTAGTAAAATTTTATTACTACCTGGTCCAACAAATTGAACCATAATTGAATAGAAACCTGATCTAATTAAATTTGAATATGTTTTCAGAGTGAACTATGAATTGTTCATCATTCTGGTGTAATTGAAGGACAGTGACAAATCTTGAGAAGGCAGCACAAAGTCAGAAAAAGCTTTTGCCAGCTCTTACTAGCACGTGGTTTAAATGAACTCTTTATGTACATTTATAAAGTGCCAAGGAGCTTAATATAATTTAAAAAATAAAAGAATTTGGTGTGTTTGTGACATTGAACCCCTACTTTAGTTTCAAATTCCATTGTGGCTTGCAGGTATCAGCAGCATAGCAGCAGTTCAGGTTTTTTGTCTTCACTCCATGGGATTTGATTTTCCATGCATTTCCTGATGTGTAAGCAGTTAACTGGACACCTGTGTACACCCCATACCCACACATATACATACTCTAAATAAAAGTGGATGCTTTCATTTGGCATTCAGACCCATTTGTTCTAGCATGGGATTTGTTGGCAGAGAACCAATTATTCTATTCCTTAGTATCCCTTTAGGTTCAAATTCAAATATTTCCCTTTGCTGTAAAAATAAATCTGCATATCTTTATTTCAAATGCCATTTGATTGCTGGTGTGTGGGTGTTGTATGGATGTAGCTACTTATTTCCTTTCAATGTCTGATCAGAGGAATATGGAAGGAGTATCAGCAAGGTTCTTTCAGGTGAGAAGGGATCTGCATTCCCAGAGACTCTTTGTGGCACTTACATCTGGTGATGTGTAATCTGTCTACATTATACTGTGTTTCATCACATTTCAGTTTTCTGAGTGCTAGCAGTCTCAAATATCAGTAGAAAAGCTATAAAATTGTGGGGTTTTAATAGTCTTTAAATTGTAGTCAAAGAAATATTGATTTAAACTAAACACTGATCACATAGTGAGAAATTCTGCTGTACAGTGAATAGTTCTGCTTCAGGTGTATTTATGCTGAAATGGCTGCATATCCTATGATTCTATTCTCTGTATAATTAGACAAGATAAGGGCAAGAACCAAATATTGCTGTTCTTTATAGTGGGAAAAGCTAGTGCCCAGCCCAGCTGACAAGCACAGGTCTCCAGCTGTTAGGAAGAGGAAGAAGGTGGGTGAAGGTAATACCAGAGCCAGGCAGGAATGGGAAGCGTTTGTATGAAGTGTCTTACTATAATTACAGCTGGTAGGGTTTTTTTACTGGTTTATTCCCCTCTCCCTTTAATTAGTAGTTAATAATTCTACCCCACCAAAAAATTCCCTGTTAGAGCAAATCTGTAACTCAAGTGAATGTCCTGATCCGGGGGTAAGAATATCCAGGATACAATCCATTCTATTGATAGGGTATTGATACAGCCACTCACTGACTTTCTAAGACTTTCAGTCAATTAGCTCTTAGTGAAATTTTCCCTTATGACCTAATCTAATCGTTAATGGTGGCATTTTTGGTTTTTTGGTTTTTTTTTCCCCCATTTCCTTTGATTGTAGTTAGTTGCACAGTATAATATGCAGACTTGAAAGGAACTGTTAACAGAAATGCTTCAAGGAATCACCTGTGTCACTGCACTACTGTATTAGCAGCAAAACTCAAAAGGCTTTAATTTGCAAAGAAAACAAGCATTCAGATCATGTGCAGAGAGTCATCCAGGTCCAGAACTCATGGAAGTCACAGTTCTGTTCAGACAGCACAGTGGAGTCATTGTGCCATTTGACACCACCTGATCTGATCTCTGGTAGAACTTTAAATGTATAACTTCTACTACTTACATTTGTGCATTGCTGATATATTTGTTACTGGCCCTATAAATAATTTGGATTTTGCAAATAACAGTACCTCAATGTGTTCATTAAAAGTCTGAGAGAAATGCTAACTGTCTCTATCTCAGATATTTTAATCATGTAGTGGATGAAATATCAGAACTTCTTAAGTTCAGTGATGATTTTTCACCATCTGTAATGTTCAAGATTCTTATATTTTTGTCTCTCAAGTGCTTCCTTTCTGATTTTTTAATTTTCCTTCCCCTGACATCAGTCCTGCTCTTAAAAAGAAAATTAAAGTTTACTGTACTATGGTGCAAACTACAGGCTAAGCATACTTTTTGTTTCAGTCTGTTAGGAGGTGTTTGAACACAGGAATTCCTGATTTTTCTCTTAGGAAAATGAAGTGGGCTGCATTTTACAAATGTACATCCTTATCCCACATGCCCTGCCCTGCCTACCCCATGGGTAGCACTGACTAACAGTCTCAGTGGGGGTTTTGTTCAGGTCCACTGTTTTTCCATCAAAACTCATTTTCAAATGATGGGAAATTCATTTGTGTAAATTTTTTCCTTTACATTTTATTTTTTAAAATAATGTACCCCTTTCAGGACTTATCTTATTTCTCAAAAAAACCCCCTACATTTAAAAATAAAATTTTTCCTCTTTGTAAATTTATCCATCAGTGCTCTTGGAAGTTGTTGTTTGAACATCTTGTGCCCTTTTTTTTCTTTCTATTTTGAATCTTCATCTGAACTGTATATTTTTCAATTCACTACACTTAGATTTCCAACAGGTATTGCAGTATCTCATTAAGAGAGAGGGTTGACTTTGGCACAACACTGTAGTCTGGCCAAGGTGTTTAATCCATATGGGAGAGTCAGTAACTGAAACATATGAGTCCCCAGGAGCACTGTGGAAGCCCATAAAAATGGAAAAAAATCCAGTTATCAGATGAAAGCCTTTCCCATCAAAGCCTAGGTTCTGTTTTCTCACACAAATAAATTCTGAGTAAAAAAACCCCTACTGTTCCCAGTCCTGAAATGAATTACTATGTTGTTGATGCTGGCACTGTGACATGCTTTCTGGTTATCTGGGTGGGGATTTTTTTTTTTCACTTTCCATGGTTTTGTTACTACTTGGGAAAGGCACAGTTCACTAAAAGGAATTAGATTCTTGCTTAAAAATTAGTAGTTTATATTTTGCAGTAGAGATAAGAAAGATGAAAGACAATGTAATCTATTGGTTCTGTATAGATTTATTATAGGAAAAAGAAACTACAAAAACAACCTAGCAGTATGAAAAGAAAATCCCAACGTGTTTTGCATTCTTAACAATATATTTTGATAATTTTTTTTATTCTACAGAACTGCTTCTGTATTTTCATAGCCAGTCCTAGTTGACATTCTTGTAAATGGTGAATACTGAAGATAGAAGTGGTGCATGATAATCTTTTTAATCTTGCAATGAAATAATGCTGAGGAATTTTAAAGATTGTGCCCAAGTAATGTCCTGACAATTTCACTTTGATCATTTAGTTCTCACAAGAGAAACCGGTTATTGAGTTGAATAAACCTCTCCTCTGTCTGTGTTGTTGGGGGAGGACTGGCAGAGTGATATGGAGACACAAGTTGGAACTGGCAGGGTTTATTCTGTGACCCAAACATAGCTGTAATCTCTATTTGTCAAACACATGACCAGGACAAAAGTATCCTCAAGAGGTTGTGAATGTTAGCTGCTTTTGGCTTAAGGGTGTCATGAACTGGCAAAGGCAGAGAGGGATGACCTAGCTAATCAGTTCATTTAGGAAAATTCTCTTTGGGTTGGATTCCATAGAGCAGGGGAAAAAAAAAAAAAAAAGAAGAGAGTTGTTTTCTGACTTCACAAGGTAGAGATTTGGGCCTGAATGCTCTGCCTATCTGCAGGAAACATCCATGATTATGAAACAGTTTGTTCATACAGCAGTAAAACAGGATTGCAAACAGTTCAAATAGGAATTGTGTTACTTGTAGTAATGCAGCCACAAATAATTTATTCTCTTCTGAGGATCTATTTATGATGATCCATAGCTGATCTATATAGATTTGAATTGAAAGGAAGTAATGCTGTTAGAAAACCAGAAATAAAAACTGATGTAATCTATCTTACCAGATCAAAACTCTGAGTGCCATTCCAAATTGTACCTTCTTCAGCCGTATGTGTGCCCAGCAACAGGTCCCTCTCTGCTCTCCTGGTCCCTGGTAGAACTTCATGATCTGCAAAATATTTCCCAAACTCTACCTGCCTTAATCTGTTGCTAAGGTAGCCGAGGTTAAATCTTCACTTTGCCTGTCTGAAACAAAAGGACAGAAGCTGTGTCTTTTCCCTGGGTTAATATGACGCTCCTGTGATTACCACTTGAGGACTTTCTGAAGGTCATCTCATTAAGGGGGCAGATTGTGGGCATTTTTACAAGCCCTCCAAAAAATTGTTATTAATTTGAACTTCACTCTTTAGGAGCCAAAGAAAAAACAGACTTTGAGTGAAACTAACTAGCCACATCCTTTCCCCAGTGCAGCAGACCAAAGCATACGATTTCTGCCAGTAGGCTGTAGGAACTAATTTAACTGAGGTATATCATCCATCTCCATAATGAACTTTGGGGGCAATGAAACTCCAAGCAAAGGCTTCTTGTCTTTCCATCCAAATGTTGTCCTAGGGATACAGTGCAAACCCATTAAAGTGCTATTGTATTCATCAGGAGCTTTTTTATATCATGTCTTACACTTTTAACAATCTTCAGGATTTTGAATTTGTGTTTCTTACATCCATTTTAGTGTACCAAAAATTGTTAAAATTGTGTGTTACCTGGATTTTAGCTACAAATCTTCTGAATTCTGTGCTAACAATGCAGGAATCAGTAGGACTTTGTGGAGGAAACATTACATTGCCATCTAGAGAAGAAGTTTTAAAAAATGCCAAACAAAAACATTTGAACTTGAAAATCTCTGGAAATTATGGCTGGGGAGGTGGATATAACTAGAAAGATTTCTCCTTACATGCCAGCAACCACTTTTCAAGACAATCAATGTAGTAACAAATAATAAGACCCAAGAAAGATGTGATTTCTTGTCATCACTCTTACCATTTCCATCATCATGGTAGAAATGATCATCATGATCATCACCATCATAACTACTATTTAAATGAAATCATCATATATCCTACAATAAGTTTTCAAAGAAAACAAATTTAGGACAGTGTGACATGTGTAGACCAGTTATGAAGCTAAAATATGAGAACCATTATTTCAATCAGAAATGTACATTTTATATATGATGCTGCTATTTTATTTAGCTACAAGGATAAAGACAATTTTTTTAGTTCCAATATTATTGCTGTGCATTGAATTCCATGAAACTACCTTAAGATGAATTTTGGTAGAAAACATTACAAATTTGATTCATGTTTATACATTTACTTGGATATTAAACCAAAATTTTTACTTTAAGTTGCTGTTCTTGTATTCCTTAGCTTATTCATGGGTTCAGTTATTGTCTCTACCAAGACCTTTGAAGAGATACTAGGAGCAAATTATCTGCCATCTATCACAGTGCATTGGAAATATTTGCCCATGTCTCTAAATGTGTTGATAGATGTTTGGCCTCAAATGATTTAATGCTGAGTAATTCCAGCTTTTGACTTACTGATGGGAAAAATTGTACTTTTTAATGGAGAATACAAGGCTTCTGGCAGGCAGAGTCATGATTTGAATGCACTGCCTATTGGTACATTTAATACAAATTACAGTCTACTGGGAATGTGATTCATATTCCTGATCCTTTCTTGACAAGACTCATGTTCTGAGATGGTAATGGTTTATCTGTAACTATCTCTTCCAAAAAAATATATACGAAAATCCTCAGAAAATAAGTTATTTTTTAGCTCAGCAACTGTGAGTACTGAATCTTGGAATTCAATGCATTTGCTTTGAAAGATGAGGTTAAAAACATTATTGTAGCATTTGGGGTTTCTTTTGTTTGCATTCACACAAAGAATTAATGCTGGATTGTGTGATCCTTACATGTAAATTGTATCAAAGGAATGATAGCATGGCAAGTTGAACGCTTAGAGCTCTGGACTCATAGATTCATAGAATCATTAAGGTTGGAAAAGACTACCACAACCATCAAGTTCAAACATTAATCTGGCACCACCATGTTCACCAGTAAACTTTATTCTCAAGTGCCACATTCACATGCCTTTTAAACCCTTGCAAGGGTGGTGATTCCACCACTGCCGTTTGCAGCCTCTTGCAATGCCTGACGACTCTTCCAGTAAAGAAGCTTTTTTCTAATATCTAATCTAAGCCTTCCCTGACACAATTTGAGGCCATTTAGTCTGGTCCTGTCACTTGTTACCTCAGAAAAGAGACTGATCTCTACCTCACTCCTGCTGGAATTTTAGCATGCAAGTGGATAATTCACTAGGTTAACCCCCCAAATCTGCCACAGGACTGCTCTGCAGCTGCTCCTGTAGATCATGGATGAAGCATGCCCAGCATGTTCTGTACACAGTTTTTAGGAAATTTCCCTCTCAAATGCTCCCCAAGCAGAAGTAAGGTGCCACTAAGAATGCACATGCACTAATGTTGCATACTGTAAAGGTGAAGCACTCTGTGTTTATTGTGAACAGTGGTGACAACAGATGATCAGAACTGGACCATTTGTATTATTAACAAGGCTGTCTGCCCATGGAAATATGAACACAAACAGGCAAAGTGATCAAGGAGCATCTCAGGTGCATGTCCATACAGAAGGCACTAGCACAAGCATATCCATAGGTACTGTCTGTGCTTTTTTGGTGTCATGAAACAATGTATTGAGTATCCAGCTGGGCATGAACACACCAAAATGAGCAATCAGTGTGTGGAAGTTAACATCATTGTGAACAAGTCCTGCTGGGGTGCCACTGCCTATTTCAGGAGTCCAGAGGGCAGAGGTGCTTTGTGGCCAAAGACTCGCCCCCACCTTCTCCTCTTATTTATTGTTTGAGGATAAAAGGAAGACACAGCACATAGTTGCATCTCTGCAACTTAAAAACATATAGATGTGTAAATATCTTCATCTTTTGACTCCTTTCACTGCAATGTCACCTTAGTCTGATACTTCTGGAATTGCTCCCAAATGATTCTGCAAGAGAAGAGAATTAAGCTGTGATAGAGGTTTTGTTCTGCTAAGAATGAGACAGTTAAACTCATCTTACTTGCAATTTAAGCAAGGACCATGAAGAGCTGAATTTTGTATTAACTACCTGAGGGACACTATAAAAATTAGATTTTCAGTCACTGAAATTAAGAAACCAGACTGAGTAGCTGGCTTATTTATTAATTCAGTAGCTTCAGGTTTTCCTTTAATAAGGATTCTTTTCTGTAAATTAAAGCAGATGAGAGGAATATCATAAACGTAAAATTAGTCTAATCCTATTGAATTTTAAGCTGTGCCAAGGCTGCAAGATAGAATTAAATAATTGATAGAAAACAAAGAATTAACTTGAGACTTTGATATTTAAAATAAATACAGTATTTTATGTGCACCATCTGTAAAATAACTGGAGACACGAAAGGACTATCCATAGAAAGCTATAGAACACTATTTTATAAATAAATTTCTAGGGTAATTCCATAATTTTACAATAAAAATATCCATGTCAGATAAAGATATGTTTATATGTTAAAATTTAATGTTGTGATTTGATATAAACTGCATCTTGTAATACTCTGATTTTTTTTAAAACTCTGCCCCAAAGATGAAATATTTGCTCTGCCTTCAGGTTAAGAAATCAATTACAAGTTTATGAATGCAGTTTTGTCCTGGAGGGAAATGTGGAGCTGATTCATACAGAAGTCTCAGAACTGAATTGCATTCAAATTATTCATGAACAATTTGCATCTGTAAGGGAAAGGAATTGTGCAAGCAGTACTGTTTTTCTAGAAGTTTCAACATTTCTCTAACACCGAACGTCATGAGAATATATTGTTAGTGTGCTAAGTGGGTAGAGAGTGTCATAATGTGGTAGTGTATAAATATCCCTTACCTTTCTAGTTAATATTTTGGCATTGCATGATTTCACATTTTATTCACCTTGTAATAATAAAATAGAAAAATGAAAAATGAATGATTCTGAAAATTCTTTTCTGAAAATTATTTTGAGCTCTGCTTCTTTAAATTCAGCTCTTCACATATTGGTCCAGAACTCTCAAAATTAATATGTTCATTTTATTAATTCAAGTTATTTTACAGTGTCTCTGTTCTCTGGTGTCAAAGGTAATGTAAGTGTTTAGAAGAGTTTTCATTAGTGGCAAAATTATTTGGACTTCATTGTTTGGTTGACCCTGTCTGGTCACCAGGTGCCCACCAAAGTCACTCTATCTCCTCCTCAGCTGGAAAAGGGAGGGAAAATAGAATGAAAGGCTTGTGGGTAGGGACAAAGACAAGGAGAGATCACTCACCATTTGCTGTCATGAGGAAAACAGACTTGGCTTGGGGAACTAATTTAGTGTATTGCCAATTAAAATCAGAGAAGGATAATTACAAAAAACCCAAATCCTAACCCCCACCTTTTCCCTCCATCCTTCCTTTCTTCCTAGGCTCAACTTCACACCTGGATTGTCTCCCTCCTCCCTGCAAGCAGGACA